TTAAAAAAAACAGAAAATTAGAGTTTTTTTATCTCCAATAACCACCCACTGTGCTAACGTGCTAAATTAATTGATTCCAGTAACGATTGTGAGTGTATGGTGTTTTTGGTTCATTATGTGGTTCTGCAGTGGTCAGTTGACTGCAGGAATTATTGCCAACTTTCCCTCAGCCCAGAAAAGAATTTGAAGATTATTATTTAGAGATTATTTAGCAATTTTGTTGGCCGACTCTGGGTTTTGACTTGCTACAACTGATTTTTGCCATTTTAATCACAGTATTCAGCTCGAAATTGTATTCATATAAAAATAAGTTATGGATTGTCTCCCACAAACTGCACTTAGTCACGGGTTCTATCTTCAGTAAAGTGCTAGGTGACTGATAGGCCGGGTTTTATAAATGGGTTCCCGTGAAACTAACTATATGACTAGTAAAATCTCTTACAATAGGTCTGTGTTTTCTGTTTATCCACATGAGTGGTGAACATCAGTCACTCGTCCAAATGTCAGTTTCAAAACTAACTGCTGCTTCTGGGTTAGCCCCCAGGTGGCTGCTAACGTAGCATGACATGACTCGAAACTCCAATGAATGTGGAAAAAAACAAACATTTGTTGTCCTGTTGTTAGTCTCCTCCAACTAGACATGTTTGGCTTGATTAACAAATGGCTTGTTACAAATAGCTAGCTTGGATGTTTCTTGGCTCACTGTAAAGTTCTGCCGAGCTAACGACATGTTAGCGTCTGTTTGTGAGTGTGAGCTTCCTCTCCTGTTTTTGGGTTGGCTGGTCGGGGCCTTAATTAGTCAAAATGTTAACATTAGTCTTCACTGAACATAAGCCTTAATCTGCAGGTTTGTGGGCTTTGGAAGGAGTTGGTCATTTTGGTTCCACAGAACATATTCACCCAAACAACCTACATGTTGCTGTTTTAAGGCACAACTTACAGAGTATTTAACACTTGAAAACCTGAATCGAAACTCGGTGTGGGTTTTAGTTCAGGTTCAGAGGCAAGCTTTTAGTAAACCACAACCAAATGAACTTCCCGCCTCAGTTGGGAAACTCCAGGCAGTGTGATTTTTCTATTTATTACTGATTTGTCATCCAGTTGGTTTCATTACGTCTCTATCATAAGACTTTTAGCTGATCTGTTTAAATGACAGTTAGTTTTTTTGGCGTTCACTGTGATAATCATGGTAATTGTGTTCATGTGCTGTGTTACAGTGTATTTTAATCACACAGTGATGGATTAAAACGGTACAACATTAAAATACCAGATGCAAAAAGTCACATCTAATTAGGACTGGAAGCGCTGCCATTCAGCCGCCTCCAATGTTGGAACAAAGAGTCCTCATTCAGTCATAAACAATAACTCAGACTACTGTACTTCACTTTTCTCAGTCGTCCCAGTTTCATTTTCTGGGGCAGAAATGCTAATGACCTTCAATCACCAATGTTATTTCAGTATTTTGAGTTCCACACATTCACAGTAACTCGCTGCAGTGTTCGGCTTTGGCTCATTTCGTCCCATTATGAGACGTCACATTGGTGAGACTGCCCTCAGTTAGCGTCTAACGTCTAATTTTAAAACATAAAGTTTATGTGCAGTGTTTGTACAGTTTTTCTTTCTTTTTTTTTGACTTGGACGTTGCAGTCGCGCTTTGGCTGCCTGCAAAGGCATTTGAATAGAAGAGTACAGAGAAAACTGAGGGTTTTTTGGCGTTAACAGAATGATGTTGCTGTATATGTATTTGTTTTAAATGTAATTATACAACCTACAAGTCCTTCCTACGTGATAATTTAGTAAACAAAGGCAGGAAGTGAAGGTGGTTGACCACAAAGACTATATAACACATTTAAAACCAGTGAAGTCCTGCACTAGAGTCTTATAATAATAAATTATTAGATATATTTAAAAAACAAAAACTGAAAAATGCCTTGTGCTTTTTTGTTTGTTTGTTTGTTTGGTAACATTTTTAGCATTATAGCAATGTTTGCTATATTTCAAGGAAGTCCTAATCCAAAAAACCATTAAGTCTTGCGTTCATTCATTTCGTGTAACCGCTAGTTTTTTTTTTAAAACATGATGAGTCAGTACAGCAGGTTGCTTATATTTGAAAATAAAATGTCAATCTTGCGTTCATTCATTTCGTGTAACTGCTGTGTTTACAGCTATTTTTTTTTAAAAAAACATGATGAGTCAGTACAGCAAGTTGCTTATATTTGAAAATAAAATGTCAGGAAAAGCAGCAGAAAGGGAAATGATGAGTAATCTCTCTCTCTGGGCAAAGCCACACATCAGGTACACATAAAACATTTGCTCCTGCCAGATTTTTATTTTATTTTATTTTATTTATTTATTTATTTATTTTATTTTACAGAACTCTGGTGTTTCCGTTTAGGCCTGGTCTATATTTACAAGACATTTTCATATGTTTATTGTTTATTGTTGTTCTCTGTGAACAGTTGATCTTGGTCCTGGTTTTTGGCCCTTTGCTGTAATGAAATTGCCCTGATCTTGAGGCATCACTTTATAAATGCTATTTAAAATGGATTTGCCTATCTATGAGTGATTAAAACATAGGTCAAAAGATTCTTATAATCTTTATAATGATGTGACATCTCATCCTCCCAAGTGTCAAATCTTTCTTTCTCGAGTGCTTCTGTGAATGTGATTCAACACCCAGAGTGTCTATTGGAACCTCAAGTCCTTCGTTGAAATGTGTGACAAATTGTTAATTTTTTTTTCTACGTTTCATTTCTTAAACCAGTACTGCTCCTTTGGCTCCAAAGGCATAGACCTATGCAGGCAGTGGAACCACTAACCCAGGCCTGGCATCTGTTGCATGTCCAACCATTGCACTATTGATTGCATGCAGATGCATTTTGGCTCCAGTCAAACCACCAGAACACTTGAGCCAAACATGAACACACAAAAAAAAAACTTTCCAAAACCGTCTGGCTAAGTGGAGAGATGGATTGCTCTCTCCAAAACACAGATGATTTTTGTGAGGTTGATTATTATGTTTGTCCCCTCTGAGTCCAATATTGGACCAGGACCGAAGTCCAACGTCATGGTATATTGTAGTCTTGATTTCACTCTGAGATATTACGTCAAGTACAATACTAAGTTTCTGCGTTAGCTGCCCATACTGTTGAGTACCACAACACATGGCACCTATTTTTAACCAAACCACAGGACTTCATGTCTGTGTCTGAGGCTTTGACAATGAGAACTGTGGCAAATCTGGTGAGCTGTTGTGACTGATTTGCCAAAAATTTATCGGCCAAGAGTTCATCGGTGAGATTTTTTTTTTTTGCTACAGCTGATATGGTCGAGTGGCTGCTTTGTGATCTTGACTCAGGTTTCATCAGATTTGTTGACGACTTGGTGTTTCAACTCAGTTGGGGGTCTGAGACGGTCGTTGAGTATGATCTTCAAAACAGCGCAGTGGAAAACTTACTGGGGGGGAATCACGGGTTGATCTGGTTTATAGTTGGGCTCGGGATGAATCAGCTTTTCTTCTGGTTATATTGCTTTACTAGACTGTGACCTCCAGTCGGGGCTGTTGGCTGGTGATGATGAAGTGGTCGACATCTTAAGATTCCAAATTTCTGTTGGAAAATAGATGTCTCCTTGTTGATTAAAAGGGAGTCTACCCTACATAAACATTTAATTCGTACGAATTTCAGGTTGAATAATTTACCACCTTTTGCCTTCTCTCGGTCAGACTGTTTTGTTATTCATTTCAAAGCCAGTGCTCTTGGTTTATAAGTTGATGCCCATTATCACCTTTGATGAAGAGCTTAGGGAATGAGGTCATGGAGAAGTGACTAACATGAGTTTCCTTCAGAGAGGGCTTTGGCTTCACATTTAACTGAATAGGGTTTTTTGGGTTATTTTTGGATATAGCTATCAAAGGTCAGGAGGAAATCCCTGAGTGGTTCGTTTTTACGATATCCTGCTGGTAACTCAGATGTCTAAGAGCCTCCTGAGAATCAGAAACAGACAATAGAGATTTTATCAAAACTAGTTGGTTAAAAATAAAACAAACAAACAAAAAAACAGGAAACTATTCTGGTAGCCGTGTAGACATAAACAGGAGTATTAAATACTTTAAAAATTAAAGCTGATAAGTCACTGTAGCTGTGGATTAATAACAAACAAGAGTAATTATATTTGTTGTCAATCATGATTAAGAAAAGGAGGCATCTGTTCCGCATCTGTTTTTATTTGTGACTATGGCAGATGAAGGAATTATAAAAAAAACTGTGACTCGGATTGACTTAATGGGTTCTAGTCATCATCTAGTCATGATTGCATTTTGACGGTAGAAAATGTTTTGAGAGTTTCTTTAGAAACTTCTGTGAAGCTGAAGTTTTCCTCATTAATATTAACAGTTTCTCACAGTGACATTTGGGGCAGCCATCTTGTCAGCGTTAGACTTGGTCAGGCTGGTCTGACGCACGCCATAGATCTGCCCTGAAGTTAAGGCCCAGACAAACACGTGCTTGTGGAGTTGAGATGGTATTTTAAGCCTGAGGTGCTGTGGTGAAAAAACACAAATGCATTTGATAAAAATTTTATCTGATTTGTTTCCCAAAATAACGGACGCCCTCAACACATTCATCTCAGTCTTGGAGTTTAACCAGATGTAGTAGGATTGAGGGAAATATGTCATGACATATATATGTATATAATTCTGCAGGTTGTGGGTTGTTTTCACTTGAAAGTATATACATTTATCTAAGGGCAAATGAGGCTTTAAAATAGGATTTGATTATGAGACTTGGTGATTATCTCTTTAATTTATCATATATGAGGTCTATGATGACTCCATCATTATCTATCTGATAAAGTTTTAGCTGTTTATGACTAAAACTGTGAACTTGAAACCACCTCCATCTGCAGATGATGGCCATTCACTACAAAGAGTATTTATTGGGAACTGCTCTGGCCTAAAGCGGCGGCCAGACCCTGCACGTGCAGGACTTGGTTTGCTGCCTAAGTGTAGGAATGAAGGAATGGTGTGTTGTTTTTGTTTGTGCCTGTGTGGCAAATCCATTTTGATAAATCACAGTTTCTCATCTTACGGTCGGGTCTGGAGACGTTTATTCATGCTTTATTTCCTCTCATTAGGCCCATGGATTTCGGTAAATTCAGCGATGAGTCAAATCAGCCTGTCACGCCTCAAGCCTTTCAAAGGAAAATGCAGCTTCTTGGATTTTAAACATCAGGAAGGCGCAAAATCGTAACAATGCCCTTTTTGACAAATTATTTTTGTAATGAATTTTTAGCACTTCGCAGGCCGCCTTCTCTAGCTGCGAGACAACACTTCACTGAATTTTGTTACTGGATCGGAGGCTTGCTGAAACAGCAAAACTACACCGTTTTTTTTTTAAACCAAAGACTTACCTTTATTGACACATGGTTTCAAGTATGTGTCTGTATTTACATAAATACACCATTTTGTGAATTGCAGGTACAAAAAGAATCTCAAGGCTTTCCACTTTGTACATCCAACATTTAGATCTAAGGTAAGAGCATCAATCAAGATGCGCCAACTCAGATATTTTTATATGCTGCATTTAATTTGAACCTAATATATAGCCATGAAAATGATAGGATACAACTGTTTAAGTCTTTTTGGGGAAAGTTCCCATTTGGTGTCATTTCCGCACATTGTATATATTATGCTCATGCTCCGTGTCATGGGTTTAAAAATCATCATAAAAATCATGTGACCTTCTCCCAGCGCATCAGCAAAGATCTGTTTCACCACAGGCGGCCAGGGAACCAAATATGGTTACTTTATTGGCCTTGATTTTTTTTTACATGAAAAAAAAAAAAAATGTCAACACAGTTAAAAGTCCTAGTATGTAATCCAGTAACAGTGTACATTGGGTTTTTTATTATTATTATTATTATTATTTTTAAGTACTTCAGTGAGTAAGGGTTACAATCACTACTATAACATTTCAGGCGACCCCACACGGGGTCCCGACCCTAAGGTTGAAAAACACTGTCTGTTAAAGTCTCTGGTAGTAGCATTCAATTTAAAGAATATTTATTTGGAAAAAACAAAATATAGATTTAGCATCAGCCAATGGACTGGCTGATGCTAAATCACATAATGCTATATGATGCTAAGTGATGTTTGCAATTACGTTGTGTTCATTATAATAACTGGTCTCTACTCCCATCAGTTCTCCACGTGGTTTTTCACCACCTTCAGTGTGTCAGGGATTAAGGACAAAGTCCGCTACCTGGACAGCCTGCAGCAGCTCTTTACCTGCATCAAACCGGAAGAGATCGACATTCCGCCTTTTGTGTTAGAGTACGACATACGGGTGAGGACCATCACACATCACACACACACAGGCATACGGATGGAAATAGACGGGGATAAAAATCAATTTACCTTCTCTGCTGAACTTTCCGTTTGGTATTTGCCATTGCCCTAACATTATTAATTTTCATATAGTGACAGGAAATTAAAGTTAAACTTCATGACCTTCACAATTCATAAAAATCCTGCTTGTGTTTTTTTTTCTTATAATTTGATAAACCTGACAAGTGAAATGAATCCACATTTGTATTTTTTTGGCCGTACACGCTCCAGGAAAAAAAAACAGATGCCACAAAAATGTGACGTAGGTAAAGAGAAAAGTGTGTTTGGTTCCGGGGCTTAAAATATAACCAGTTTCACCCTTTTGGGATTCATTTTAGGGATGGAAAAAAACATCCTGTTGCCAAGTAAACAGTTTCATCTGTGCAAATTTGCATATTTTAAATGTGTTTTTTTTTTTTTTTTTCTAATTTCTACAAAATGAACTTTACACATTGTTATTAAGGTGTGTTCTGAGTAACAAATTGACAAAAGCTGCAGTGTCTGTTGTTCTATCCCCGGTCGAAATGCTGCATTGAGTGAATAGAGAATTAGAAAAAGACAATTCAAACTGACATCTTGTCTTTGTGCCTTAAGACAAAATTGTAAATGGTTAGTATAAGAAGCGATCTAAAACCTGCTGGTAAACAAACTCCCTTTGTTATCAGAATGCGTGTGTCAATAGCGCAGTTTTGAATTCCTTGCTCGCAGATGGCAACAAATCCAAGCCTCACGTTTTTTACCTCTTTGACTGCACAGCTTCACATCTGCTTCCTGGCCTCTTCTGAGCTCTTTGCATCCTCACTTACCGACGCCGAACACATAGATATCGGCCTGGGTGACACAAACCAGAGAATAGTCCAATCAGCTAATGACTTGTTTATTGAGTCAGTTTGATTGCAAATAAAAGACACCTATAAATCAGGGAGTCCTGCAATGTCGTTATAATTAATCTGACCTTGTCCAGGACGGTCCTGCCCACGGCTGGTTTCTCTTTGATATTTAAGGAAATCGTTTGTCATTTGCGTCAGTGGTTTTGATTAGAACTAAATAAATCTGACGCTAAACAAAAACAGACAGAGCAGGGGAGGAAAATAAAATATTTGGATGTATGGCGGTTTTCATCCCAGTTGAGATTTTAGGAGGTAATTTGAGCCAACATTTCTCTTAGTTCAAGTGCTTACAATATACTTTACCATATAAAAATAACGAGATAATTAACAGCAGGTTTGGCTCGGTACAACTTTTTCATGTCCGATCAATTCTGCAACTTGGAGTTTTCCAATACCGTTATCAGTTCAATATGATTCCTTTTCCTCCAGCATGCTGGTGCAGCTGGTGCAGAGGGGATAGTTTCCCTGGCCTGGAGTCCTGTTTTCCATGTTCCATTCTGAAATTTTTACCAATTTTAGACCGATGCAAATCATAAGTATCAGATTCATAATTGACAGTAATCTTGTCTCCATGTTGATCTTTAGTTAGAATGGTCCTGATTCTGGCTTTAGCTTAGCTTAGCTTAATTCAACTCAGTGGTGCACAGTGAAAAAATGTACTTCAGTTTAACTAATTTACTTCATTCCAAAAGAATCCAGTCATATCCCTTTACTGTTTTCATTAAAGATTAAATAATAATGTTTCAAAACAACAGGTCATTCAGACTTTTGAAAATTGAATGATATTTTAACGATGGCGTGGTATTACCGGTTCGTATTAACAGCTCATACCGGCCAACCGGTTCTTGGTACAAAAAAGGCCGTATTAACAGCTCATACCGGCCAACTGGTTCTTGGTACAAAAAAGGTTGGGTGTAGTCAAACGCAGTGTCTGTGACATAATACATCACATTCAACAGTGATAAACAGTGTGAGAGATTTAACACCTGACTCTGAGTCAGCACATCTATGTTCCCATTGAAGTTTCAGGGGAGTATTTACACAACAGGACAAATCCAGGGTCAGCCGGGTTCAAAGGCTCGTACACCCACAACTATTTGATTTTTAAAAAAGCAGATTTCAAATAAGTTCTTTTAGTACTATTAGGATAATTTTCTCCAGTTGCCTCAGCTTGTATCAACTGTTACAACTGTTAATCTGCAGCAGATTTAGGTTCTGCTAAGTCCCGCTACTCTTTATCTACTGTAATGAATGCCAGTTGTTAACAGGAGATCTTTCATGGCTGACGTTGCTTCGGCGTCAGTGTCACTGTCTCATATTAAAACTCATCCATCACTTCAAAGAGCGCACATCCAGCCTCTCTGGCTTCCTAATTTTTTAACTAATCTGCTGACAGTATTGTTCATGGTCACTGAAGAAGTGTGATCCTGAAACTATAGTGAGATCTTAAACCAGAAACAGCAGTGGTTATGAATTGGCAGCCTTTTATTACCACAACGTTGTTGTTGTACGCAGACGGCGAAAGGAAAATTATTTGATAACTATCGTTTTAATTCTCCAAGACATGATTTTTTTTAGATTGCACTTTTCTCCAACCCCATTCACAACAATAAAAGTTTAAAGTAATCATATATTTTAAAAATGGTCACATATAATGAAAGTTATCAGGCATAATTTTAAAAGCATTGGCATAAATTTAAGTTGCCTGCAATTCAATTTCTACACTGTTGGTCAGGTATTTGCTAAGACAAAATGCGTGTGATCAATTCCACTAAAATTCCGGTATCACCCATCAGTAGTTAGCAGAGTTTTCTTACACATTAATTAATTTCAGAATTTTTTAGGGAAAATTCTTATTTTGTGTTGTACAGTAAATTTTTGGAAAGAAATGTTCAAATTTTCATCTTTTCTGCATGTTTCTCATCAAATAAGAGCATTATGAGAAATGTTTTGCAGAAAAAGAAATTTCAGATTTTTTTTTTGCAAATCCAAATTTTGCATGTCATTTTGGTCAGATGGCGAAAAACTTTTTTTTTTCTTTGTTTCTCATCAAATGAGAGCATTTTGAGGTTTATAAAAAAAGTCTGTCCTGCCTACTTGCACCATAGTCTTCTTTTTTTAATGGGGACATTCAGTGTTTATTTCCTCCTGTACGTAACTAGTAAATGAGCAACATGTCAAAAGTTGCTGTTGTGTATAAATGCAACTGTGCAGTTCAAAATAATTGAAAATAGATCTAGACTAAAGCAAGAAAAAAAAAAAACATGTGATAAAGTGTTCTTTCTTTTCTCATGTCACTGTTACACCTACTCATCACTACCTACACCAGCTTCACCATAGAAATGCACGATGTTTGTTTAAACCCTGTCTCCTTTTCTTATCCTCTGCACCACAGGTGAATGGACCCTATCATCCCGCCCACTCCTCTGGGCTGTGACGATGAATCAGACCTATCTGGCTGAAGACGGCAGAGAGGCGGCAACCACCTGTCAAACAGACGCCATTTGAGAATGAGATGTTGCCTGTGTGGTCTGACCTCGTCACCTCCCCGACCCAGTTCGGAAGCGCAGCAGAAGGAAACTCTGCTTTTGTTCTGTCTCTGGTGGAAAAAAGGAGAAAATGAACGGTGGCAGCCCACACTCAGCAGCTTCTGGAGCAGTAAGCACTCATTCTCACTCAACCCCAGACTATTTGTGGAACCGCTTTGGTTTTTTGGATTATGCCTTACACTAAGAGTTCCTATTCAGCAGTTTCCTCAAACATCTCCTAAATATGAAGTGTCATGTCGAGGCTGACAGCTGCTCAAAACTGGCGGTCATATCCAATGCCTTGGACCGCAGCGGCCTATACTGTCAGGCGCTGACAAACAATGCTGGACCTTGGAAGATTGCATCATAATGTGCTTCCACCATGAAACTTTACTTCATGTTGATGAAGTTTGATGCTGGGGTTCTCTTGTCATGGCTCTCTGATGTTGGAGGACAAACACCAACCAGTGGTGGGTTTTGTCAAAAGCAGGAGGACATTAATCTGCGGATAGGCTTTCTTCAAATAGATTAAAAAAAAATCCAACATTTACATCATGTCGGTTTCTCCCATGTAGCAGAAAATAATATATTTATCTCGGTGATTACATTTATCTATAACTTCCAAACTTTTATCTATAACTTCCACCAACCAACATTAATCAACTGTTTAGTTTAAAAAAAACAATAATGAAAAAAAAAGTTAGGACTCATAAAAACTAAAGTGATGCATTCGAAAGATGTGACTTTTTACGTCTTATTATACTAATTATTGTTCTATGGATGTCAGGTTCTTAGATGTAAAATTATTGTTCTATGGATGTCAGGTTCTCACAGCAAACTCAACAGTAACAAAAGTCTAAAGAATCCTCTTTATCTACAGTTACAATCACTGTTTATCTTCGGACAAAATTGGCAAATTTCAGGCATTACATTTCTCTGTTTCTTTTAATCTGCTTCATTCTAATTTAAGTGACAGATTATCGTAGTCTGGCAGCATGATTACGAAAAAGGCATCTTAAAATTCTTCCAAAATACTCCAATTAATTCTTTTCAGCTGCAGCTCTGATCTCCACAGTGATTAAAATTGCAGTATACGCACATGAAAAATTTATTACGATGACATTTTTCTTTTTCTTGTTTCGTCATCTACTCGAGTTAATACATTCCCCCGGACAGATGCCAAAAGTCAGATCCTAAAATCTCTCCTAAGGTCTTATCCACGTCTCCCATCAAAGGACATTTGCTGCAATTCTGTCCATTCTTCAGAAAAAAATGTTTTACTGCCACGTCAAGTCCTAGCAACTTAACCCATCTCAATTATGTGCACAACAATACTGGTACGTTTTCTTTAGCGGCGCAGTTGCCTTCGACACTGATCTTTCCATACCACATTCTTTAACAGACTCCATCTCAGCCCAAAGGCTCGCGGTACATTCTATTTCGTCTGCTGCATTTCCACCTGTCGTCAAGAAGTCGGCAACCTACATCTGCATCTCAGAATCATTTCAACCGCGCTGGCAAACACAACGACCTCACACAGTTCTTCACACATTATCCACACGAGATGAAAATAGACATCTTTAAATGATTTCTCGGGAGCTGTCAGGGACGGCTCTTCACGGTAGAAGTTTTGTATCTGGACACTCGGTCTTGGGGAAAACGTGGATTTGAAGGAAATGCAGACAGAAGCAGGGTCGCGCAGTAAAAAAAAAAGGTCATGTGACGTGATGTCGTACAAGGTTTCAATGGTTTCAAAGTTAAACTATGTGTTGGAGACCATTTGATCAAAAAGAAGCCAAGTTTTTTTGTGGGTGATTTATTGTCTATTTAACTCAAATTAATCAGTAAACATTTAATCACATAGTTTGAAAAAAAACAGTAGGATATATAATTATTTAACTGGCAAATTTTTAGGTAAAACTAGTTTCAAAACCCAAATTGAGAATTGAAAGACCAAACATATGAAGTGAGTGAACAATTGATTGGTTGACATTTTAGTGTTGATGGTTTCACGAGAAGAGAAACTGATCAGAGAAGCAGAAGGGATATTGTCACAACAGAGATTGAGTCTGAATGTGTAAATGTACTGTATAAAGATACACAACTGATGAGCCAAAATTTTTACTTAATGGAAATAAATGTGATTTTTGTTTTTAAATTATTAACCTGATTTAATGTTTTTGTTTTTGTTTTTTGTTTGTGTTGTTTTTTTGTTGTTTTTTTACTTCATTCCATGCAGTAAGGATACTACTTAGCAATAAACTGAGATGCTTTTTTGCAGGAAGAAGAAAGAAGAAAACAATAGGATCTTGTCTGACATTAGCTCTAACATTTAATCCCCAGAAAGTCATGCTTTGGAAGTTTGGAGAACTTAGAGCCAGCGACCAGAGAGAAAAATTAGATCCATTTCCAACAGTTGATGTGAAAAATAAAGAGCAGACTCGCCAGACTTCAGCCCATATTTATATCACACACTGTTTCTGCGAAGAGAAAATTCTCCATACAGCATTTACCCTGGAGGTGTGAGATGATGTTGTCTTGGATACTTCAGAGAAACACTGGTGGCCTGAACTTCCAGTGTTGGGAAAACTCAATGTGTTCATGGAATGTGTCTGCCTGTGGAAGATATAAAATCATCACATGGTTTTATTCAGTAAACCGGATGGCTAGCTACGGATATATACTTGCTATTGGAAAAGCGTTAAAATCCTACAGTGAAAAATACACATTGAGCTGTTCTCTTCCCTGTTTTCACCTGAACTTCTACCTTTGAAGTCAGTGAGCTGGGTGTTATTGAATGCTCCTGCAGACATGGCCTGTATTGTATGCAGAGTAAACAGAGCACACCTTCTCTAAATCATATGCTATGACGTAAATGCAGAGTCGAGCCTGCTTTATCAGCCGTTAAGTGAGTGCTTCCTCTGGAGCTCAAACCTAGGACCTGTAGTATGTAAGGCAGATGTGGATGTGTGAGGTAGACGTCATAACCACTGCACTATGATACCACCAATGGAAAAGTTCTTGGAAGAGCCGACTGCCAAAAACAGAAAACGCTTCCAAAGAATGTAGTTGTTCCATCCTCACGCATCTTCTGTCCATCTTTGCCATATTGCCTCCTACTGGTCTTCCATGGTAAAAACTATACCCACAGTTAAACCTCAACAATATTGTTATAGTATGGCTGAATGGTTGGCCCTCATGGCCATTGTGATTATTACATCAGCCCCTAGAATTTATTGTCTTTAAAGTAGTCTGTTTTGTACTGTATGTTACATATAAACATTGGTTCCAGTTTTTTTTTCTTTTTATGAAAACATCCAATCATGTTTAGTGGTATTGTCCCTTTAAAAGCACAGGAAGCGAGAGGTACACATTAAGTGGTGGGATTAGAAGATAAACAGCAGGTGTTGCACTCAGCGTGTGTTTTTTTCCACCTGTCTCACCTTCCCTCCTCAGAAACAGGCGTCATGTTCCAGGAAGTGAAGAAGTGTCCGTGTGCTGATTTAAAGCCCCCACACTGTCCTTGGTCTCTATAACCTGCCCTCAGCCCCACAGACCGCTGTGACCCTCTGTCATCGGGGCTCATCTTCCGCCTTTTAATCTCTCTATCCGTTCCGGCTGCGCCAGAGCACAGGGCGGGAGATGAGGGTGGACGAGAGCTGCGGCGAGCGGGGAAGCAAAATCCATCTTCCACGGACCTCCCTGGGCGACGGGCAGGGATTAGCGTGGTCGAAACAGAGAGTCGGGCGGAGCACAAAGAGCAGGAAACCATTCGGGAACCTCGAGTGGAAGGAAATAGTGTTTTTTCTAATCACAGTGAAACGTGAAAGCTGTCAATACATGACAGTAATGTAAACATCACAGGAGTTGGACCACGTCTGGCTGTAACTACAGCTGCCACCAGTTTACATACAGCCCACCTAAATATGCAAACATTCTTTCCTGCAGTCGGCCTACAGGCTCCATGTAAGGAGGCCCAAGTGCCTGACATGCATTTTTCCCGTGGAAAGTGAATCAATCTTTTTTAGGCCTGGCCTCTTCATAAGAAAGAGAATTTGCATCTGCTGACATTGGCTGTTGTCACTTCCTAGTAGAGTCACAGGTTTGCTGCAACCTTTGCAAAATAGGGTCCTATTTATAGTCGCATTAATGAAAGAGCACTACAGCTTTACAGGCGAGGTCTTTACTGCAGTAGACCCGCTGAGGTGCTGCGTGGAGGGTCGTTAAATTTTTGGTTGATGGGACATTTTTCAATATAATTTTTTATACGTTTTCCCCCTAATTTTCTCTTTGAACGTCTTCGACGTGTTCTCGCCTTACAACAAGAACACCACCAGCTCCATAGTTTGAAAGTATGCACCTTACAACAAGAATACCACCAGCTCCATAGTTTGAAAGTATGGACTTTTCGTATATTTGTTGAACTTGAAAAGGAAGCTTTGTCTGAGTTTTTAGGAAGTGTTTCATGATTACTAGCTGGACCTTTTTGGAATCAGATAAAGTTAACGTTGACATTGATATTAGTAGATATATGGTGGTGTATCGTCAAGGCTAGTAAAACATTCTCTGCGGGCCTAAACAGTATCGGAATTAGTGACTTATTTTTCATGATATTTATCATGATATATTGCTTCCAGTTGAGTATACTCAAGTTTTTTAGCCAATCATTTTTCAGCCTTGTGTTGCAGGGTTGAAAGAAATCTGCCCTAGGGCCTCCAGAGTCAGTAGGTCCTGAGAGCTTAAATTAATGGCCATGAGATGTTTCTTTAACCAGTCAGATCTTGAGTTGGCATCAAGCTGGCATAGCAAGGCCTTCCAGCCGGCCCAGAGTTATGTTAGTGATTTGAGTGATTGGATTGGATGGTCAGAGAACGCACAATCTTGAATCTAGGAAACTTCACCTAGTGACTTGCTTATTAAGTTTTCACTGTGTTCACTGCTTCTGTTGAGTTAATAATCTCAGCCGAAAGTGAATTAAAACGTATGCCATAAATATGACAGGACTTTCCTCATTAGCATGGATGGAAATAGAGAAGGACTTGTTGTTAGAAGTGGAAAACACAAGTTCCAAGGACTGATTCCAAAACACAGGATGGGACACATTAGGAAGGCCCTAGAAACTGTCAAAACACTATGTGGACTTCTGCTGTGAACACCCATGTCCCATGATCTATGTATTCTTTTTCTCTTTCTAGTAGGGACTGATGCTGTTCCACCTCTGTCAAGGAAACCCTGGAGAGTCCTACTTTAAGGTATGGCTATGATGTTATTCTTTGCAGATGATTCTCTTATCTACATAACTGTGGGCTGTTGAATTATCACTTGTTTAGCAGGTTAAAAAAATACACTTTCTTATGGACAAGGCTTAAGACTTCTATCATCTTAACCCAACTTAGAATTCACATAAAAAAATTTAAAAAAATCTTTGGGTTATGACGACTTAAACCTTAGGTACTAGTCTGAACTGCAGAATTGGTATTTACCAGTTTGAAGGTCAAGAAAATGTCCGTTTTGCTTCTTTTGCCCAAATGAACTAATTATGTGAGACTGTCTCTGACTGTCTCTGTCAAGAAAAAAAATGTTTAATCTTGCAAGGGCATAATGTACCATAAACTGCAAGTAGTCCTCCTATGGTACATGAGAAAAATCGAATGTTGTCAATAGTGAATCATACAGAGACAGTGTGTCATGTCACTGTGTCTCTGTGTGGCTAAGGAAGGCTAAAGCAAACCAATGACCAGAGACAAAAAAAATTGTGAAAAATGCTGAAATTGTGCGTTCAGTACTTCTGTGAGCTACTGACATATGGTCAGCACTAAATGTACCCCTGGTGCCGAGAACCAGCCCGAGATGGTGACGCCCACTCTTTATAAAAACTGTCTGACATTAAGGATATAAAAGACTGACATGAGAGACTTTGTCACAGGGATCTGATTTGTCGATGTGTGTTTGTGTTTGTAGTTTTTTAAACTTCCTTTCCCACAGCAAATTTCAAAGAGAAAATCAGAAAAGTCAAAACACTGCATTAGGGAATTTTTCAACTTATGCTGCCTCATTTAGTACGTCTGAGTAATATTTTGGACTTTGGTAATAGTTTGGACTTAATCCTGGCAGTATGTTTGTTACTACTAGACTACACTTTGTGTTTTTCACTAAACATATTTAAATATCAAGGATTCATACGTGTAAGTCATTGGGACTGAAATCTGGTTTCTCCTCTTGTCCAGACACATGGATGAATCACATGAAGTTGTAGAAAGTGATCACAGAGAGATGACTCCTCTAATAAAACTTCAAAAATACAACAACAAACTAATAACGGTGCCGATAAACAGCCAGATCAAATCAAATTCAGATTTTGCCGCAACGATGGTCGAAATGTTTAACTTTTTCACCACATGGACATTCGCTGAGTGTGTTCGTAATCACGTTTTCTTCATGCCCAACATGTGTTCTGACTCATTACCGCTAAGTTTCCTCTTTGAAGCTCAGTTCTGGACATTATTGGCCGAGTGACACTCTTGATTAAATAAACCAGGGCTGATCTGTGTATGGTTACAACAAACTTTTGAGTCATTTGTAGCATTAGGCCTGCAGAGAGTGTAGAGCACTGGTTTACTTTGGTTTCACAGCAGATAAGAGCTGAGTGATGATGAAGGATGGAGAGTGTGAGAACAGGAGTCTAGCATCAAAGCTGTCTTAGATATTACTAGTGCGGAGTTTAATTGCAGACAAAGGTGAATGTTCTGTGACTTACGCTGACACTGAATGAGAAACCTTCTCTTTGGTTGTACGCTTTACTTGTGTTCCGATGGGGCCGCTGTTCTGTTTTAACCACTGCTAACCCCACTCTGAGTCCATGTAGGTTTTGGATTGGTCTGGGATCTCTGGTTT